ACACGGAATGCCGTCGCTCAGCAGCATCTGATACTGCCACCGGTCTGATGGCTCCTGAAACACAAACCCTAAACCCTCGTAAACCCTAAACCCTCGTAAACCCTAAACCCTAAACCCTCATAAACCCTTGTAAACATTTATAGACCCTAAACACTTATAAAGAGTTAAGGTTTAGTGCTTAGCAGCATCTGATACTGCCACCGATCAGATGGCTCCTGAAACACAAACCCTCGTAAACCCTAAACCCTCGTAAACCCTAAACCCTCGTAAACCCTAAACCCTTGTAAACCCTAAACCCTAAACACTTATAAACACTTATAAACACAGATAAACACGGGATGCCGTCGCTCAGCAGCATATGATACTGCCAACGATCTGATGGCTCCTGAAACACAAACCCTAAACCCTAAACCCTCGTAAACCCTAAACCCTCGTAAACCCTAAACCCTCATAAACCCTTGTAAACATTTATAGACCCTAAACACTTATAAATAGTTAAGGTTTAGTGCTTAGCAGCATCTGATACTGCCAACGATCTGATGGCTCCTGAAACACAAACCCTCGTAAACCCTAAACCCTCGTAAACCCTAAACCCTTGTAAACCCTTGTAAACCCTTATAAACCCTAAACACTTATAAACACAGATAAACACGGAATGCCGTCGCTCAGCAGCATCTGATACTGCCACCGGTCTGATGGCTCCTGAAACACAAACCCTTGTAAACCCTAAACCCTCGTAAACCCTCGTAAACGCTAAACCCTCATAAACCCTTGTAAACCCTTGTAAACCCTAAACACTTATAAAGAGTTAAGGTTTAGTGCTCAGCAGCATCTGATACTGCCACCGGTCTGATGGCTCCTGAAACACAGACCCTAAACCCTCATAAACCCTAAACCCTCATAAACCCTTGTAAACCCTTGTAAACCCTAAACACTTTTAAACACTTATAAACACAGATAAACACTTCAGGCATCTGATACTGCCACCGGCCAGAAAGCTCCTAAACCCTAAACCCTAAACCCTAAACCGTAAACCACAAGCCTAAACCCTTATAAACCCTAATAAACCCTAATAAACCCTAATAAACCCCATAAACCCTTATCAACCTTAATAAACCCTTATAAACCCTTATAAACCCTTATAAACACCAAACCCTTATAAACCCTAAACCCTTCTAAACCCTTCTAAACCCTAAACCCTTATAAACCCTTATAAACCCTTCTAAACCCTAAACCCCTACAAACCCTTA